GGCCTTCAAAAAGTTGAAGACTCTACAATGTCATCCTCAGGAGTCAAAACATGTAGAGTCGTCAACTTTTTTGAAGGCCATAGATAGGCCTAAATAAAATGTTTTGAACTGTGTACCAGTTTAACATTGAATATTATTTATGATTTTAAATCCTTTTAGTATGAACTGAGTGATATGAGAAGTTTTATTTAAACATGCTCCAATGTAAGTATTTTTAAACCATATTTTATTGCCTAGTTTGAGATATAATTTAATGAATTGTATATTTTTTTCCTAAATTAATAGTGAAGTACCTTGAATTAATTATTTGATAAAAATAAGTGAGTTGTATTTTCAAATAGAAATATGCACAGCAGCAATTACAGACCATTCATGAACTTCAGTCAGAGAAGAAAACAATGTCTACAGAGATGGAGAATCTGAAGAAAAATCTAGAGAAACAAAGAGAAGTAAAATACTCAATACAGTTTTTGTTGATTGTTAAGATGTCTTAAAGAAAAGAATTTCTGAAAATAATGTCACAAGTAAAATGGTAGTGTAAAGTACTTTAAACATTAACTTGATCTTTTAGAGGGAGAAAAAGTGATATTATTGAAGAGAATTTCAAAGATACTGTTATACTGTCTTTAGAAAGTAAAACATTATTAGGTAAGTGTACAGTGTTGGTTTGAAACCTTGATATTTGAAATATTTTAAATCTAGTTCATGTACTTTAACAGTTGGTGTTTTTAGACTGACATACAAGTGAATAGACTATTTTGTTTTTCAAGTTATGATTCCTCTCATCTTGGTTGTTTTTGAACAAATCCTGTATCAGGAAGATAAGCATTGTATAACAGGAAAGAAATGTTACAGAACTTTCAAAAGTCACATTGTGTTTAAAAATAATTGTCCCAGTTTGAGGGCTGAAGTAATGAGGGCTTCAAATAAAATATGCTCCATTTGTATTACTCTAGCTAATTCTCTTCATTTTGTCAAACTCTAGACTCTCATCCTCTCTCTGTCTACTGCCTTTCTCTTCTGTTGCTATTCCTTATCGTATGAAACCTTATATGGTTACTTGCCCTCAATTTGTACTTGTTTTTATCCAGTCGTATGTTCCTATTCTCAGCATAGTTTAATCATCATGTCATGAACCACCTTGTGTCAGTTTTAAATGTCTTTTAATTTATTTCTTTGCATTAATTAATTTTTGTCTGTCATCTCTAGTATTGCAAGTCTGAATACAATAGACCCTTTGTCCTCTTCCTCAGCTCTACTATTTCTGTTAGCATTAGTCATTCTGCTTATAATGTTATTCTGCTTGATAAAGTATAGAAACTTATATGATTTCAAAAGTATCAACATAGGATTTTGCTTTAGGTCATCACACCTGTTTAACAACTCTATAAAGACACATCAATGAGTAAGGAACTGAAAATGATGAAACATTTTAATGTAATTTAGTTTTATATTTGATAGGACTTGGCTGGAAAGGAAGAAGAAATTCAAGTTGCAGCCACTAAAGTAAAACATCATGTTCATGAAGTCTTCCAACTTCAGAAATTAATTGAGGGTGAGTATTTCATATTTTTAAACTATTGATAAATTATCTAAATACAGTTACTGTGCATGTTTCATGTAGAAAATTAAAATAATTATAACCACTGCCACAGTTTACACAGTATTGTTGCTATTATTACCTTCTATACCAGCTATTGTTATTGTTTATATCTTTACTGTTGGCACATCACAAAATATCTCGTACAACATAGCAAAACTGTATAACAAGTTGAGGATTACAGTTAAGCATTTTGTGTTTTCCTCACCTTCGGTCAGTTCGGAAAATTAAATTTTAGTTTATAAGCCTACTTGTTCAATATCACTTTTGATAGAGAATTTGATTTGGTTTATGTCCTTTTTATACACTAATTTTTATTAAATTGCAAACTGTATTAAAAGCTCTCCATTTTTATTGCTGTTTTTCTGAACTTTATGTTAATAGTTTCTGCTTCTATTATCTCTGAACTCAGTACAACTTTGGCTGTTGTATTAATACTATTAATCTCAACACATTTTCATGTAATAACACTGTAATGTCACTCTGAGTGCAAATTTAGATCTGTGTTTGAATCTTTTTATTGAGAATATAACTAATTTTAACTCAGTAGTTTGATGCTAGAAACTTTAGTGTATCAATGATATTAAAATATTATATAATGGTTATTTAGTTAATCCTATCAATAAAAATTGTTAAATGTTAAAATTTTGTTTCTGTATAGTGTCTAGGCTTGCATATCATGCATTTTTTTTATGGCTGCTAAGCATATATTTGTGTCTACCAATAAATTATGTAGGATAAGATAAAACATGTTCTGCATATTTCAGGTTTTTAGAGGCTGTATAAACTGAGCTATGATTGAACAAACAAAGGTGGAGTTGGCAGTAACTGCCTAGTTCAGAGTGACACTTGTAGTGCTTGAAGGGCTAATCTACAAAAATACCTTAGATAGAAGGGATGGCATTTGGAAAGCCTTCCATTTTTCATTGTCAAATCACCTTGCACTGGTTTTGCAGGGATTTGTATGGCATCCAGGAGGATTGAAATGGATATGGCATGATTGGCTGGTGGTTATTGTAATATGATTGATGGAATCAGTAATGATTTGACCAATGGTAGTTATAAACTCCTGAATCCAGGGCTAAGTCTCTATTTAGTGATGATTTAATTGTGTTGATGTAGAAAGATTCTTTTTTTTATAGAATTTATTTGAATCGATGTGTCTGGAAATTATCCCAGTCTATTTTACAGCCTGCCAACATGGCAAGTTCTTCCAGGGTAGAATTCTGTGTTTTTATCAGTCTTGTGCAGTCTTTATGTTCTTTTATACTTGACCCAAAATGTATTCAAATTTATTCAGTGTAGTATCATTTGTTAGTGGTTGCATTTGTGTGTCTAATATCTACCAAGGAGTGTCTTGACAAATGCCAGTTATTCCTTACTGCATTTTTCTACCTTTACAATGAGTAATCTGGTAATGATACACTTGAAGATTGAACACAGTGGTTTTAGAAATGGTTCTCAACTAATTAGAGACCTGAGAATTATTTTATAGCTTCTGGTGACATTTTTTTTTTTTGTTGCATAATGGCATGTGATTGTAAGTCTATTGATCTTACAGCATTTTTGTATTTTAGTGAATTATATAATTGTTTCAGAGACTAAAGAAAGCATATGGAAAATAAAAAAAGTATTTTATAACTTATTGGATTTTTATATATGAAACGGAACTTTCTGATTAATAATACAAAACAATTTGTTTTTATTTATATCTTTCATATTTTGACAATATTTTTATTGTGTATGTCAGTGGTTGTACATACAGACATAAAATCTATAGTTTTATTGAAAAACAATTATTGGATACATAAAAATAGGAAGATTAAAGACAAAAAGAAATACTTTTAATTTTTTTATAAAAACTGTTTTACATAAACATTAGTAAATTTCAGAATTGATAAAAATACTAATTCAAATTATATTACTTTTTTTTACACATATATTATTTAGTTTGTACCACTTTTTTATGCAGTTTGATTCAGTATTAGTAGTTTATGCTTGTGATCTTAAAAACGAGGTGTGTTGATTCAATGAACTTAGAACACAAAGAGTTAATATACTTTAGTATTCTAATTCAATACATTTAAATACCACATTGGGTTCAGCAGTAAGTTTATAGACTTAAGAGTGCTAAAATCTGGGGTTCAATTCCTCATGGGGACAGAGTGCAGATAGCCTACTGTAACTTTATGCTAAAACAAACAAAAAGAATATATATCTAAATTAAATTACTGTAATAGTATAATGCATTAACCTACATCACAATGAGTTTACCTTTAGATATAAATTAAGAACAAAATAATGCCACAATGCATTCATCTACCCTGTAAGTTTCAAGGAAATACTTTGATCTAAATTACAAAACAGATATAATCTGTGTGTGTATATATATATATATATATAATAGCCATATGTCTGTCTGTCTGTATCTTCTGAATGGTTAATCATAGAAAAAAATCATATATCAGAATGCTTCCTTTCAATTGTACATTACATGAAAATTATTAATTTTGTGTAATTCCTAAAATTTCATATCGATATATCAACATTGATCTGTCAGTCTTCATATGTGTTAAATGGTCAATCTCAGAAAAAAGTTATTAAGAACAAAAGTATTTTTTTGTGAGGGAATTTAATGAAAAAAATGGGACTTTCTCTGTCAACTGACTGAAAGAAATTTTTGAAAGATAGAAGCACGTACAGCAAAAAATGCATACAGAATGGAATGTGTTTCAGTATATGTTTGTTGTTTTTCAAATTCCCTGAACATTATTCACATATGTCAAATAAATTTATTTGAATTGTGTTGAATATCTTCCCTTTGACACTTATAGAAATGATAACTGTCAAAAAAGCACTCACTTTGGTAGCAGTCTTTTCTTGCCGTCAGTAAACTGACAAGGAATGGTGGCATCTAGTGGAAAAAACATACACGACTACTTTGCAAACCAGAGAACTTTATTGTGCTGGATGCACCAATTGTAGCAAAAATGAAAAATTTTTGCCAATGATGCATTGCAGTCAGTCTCCTTTGCTTAAAAACAAATACAATGTAATTTTCCTTATTGAAATAACACATGGAATGACAAAATACAACTGTAACCAGCTCGCTAGACAATCATACTGCATATACGCCCTGATCAAGAGATTAGGTTAACTGTACATTTTATATTTATTTATCACTATTTTATGAAAATTACCATTGAATTGTTTCAATATGCATCTGATAGTATACTGTACATTCATTAAGGTACAAATTCGTGGTAACTGTGCTCTCAGCAATAAAGAAGGTCCCAATAATCCTGTCACATATGAGACCACACCACAAATTCATTTTCGAGCTATCTTGCACAATTTCAGTGGTGTCCTGGATTTTTCTGACTCCCAAATGCAGACATTATGATGCTTTTCCTTACCTGAGGTATGAAATGTCGCCTTATTGCTAAACAGTACACGTGCAAGAAATGTTTTGTCTTTATCTATGCAGTCAAGAAAGTTCACCACAAATATCTTGTGCTTTGGTCTGTCATATGGTTCCAGTGCCTGTACCAACTGAAGTTTGTAGGCATGCAGATGTTTATGGCATGCTAAGGTCTTGTGAAGCACACCAAAGAAATTTTTGTGAGCTATGCTGAAAAAATTTGTATACTTGTTTGGTACATTCAACACTGACAGAGGGCCTTCCAACTCTTAGTCACTGTAACACACTGCCTATCTCAAAGAGCTTCTTCATCCACTTCTGGATAGTTGGTTTTAATGGTGGTTTTTTCCTGAATTGGCATCTGTGATTATGCTGCACCACTATCAACTGACCTGGTATCTGAAAGCCAAACCACTAATTATGCCTTTTCTTGCATGGTTGCCATTTTACAGTGTAACAATGGAGTGGAAAAAACATGACAATAAAAATTATTTGAGTTGGGCTACAAGATGTTGAAAACTGCATGGTTATGTTTCCATAGCTATTTAACTATCTCAACACAGGCTCGGTCAATTTGACTAACCATGTGACCTCTTTGTACTCATTCAAAATCTTTATAGATTTCACACTACTAACTTTTAATATAGTGTGTATATTTTCACAAAATTTGTCAGTCTTTCACATACAAAAAATCTTATTTTTTACTGAAGTATTTGTTTTAAGTAGTCCGTGTGCAAAGTGATTTTAATGTTAAGATTAAAAATACTTGTCTTCATCTCAAAAATCACAGATTTGATTTGCATAATCTCTAAAACCTCCTGAATACATTTCAAATGCTTGTTTTCAGTAAAACTTTATATTTTATCTGTTATTTTCTCTACCCTAACTCTATAACAATGTTGGTCAATTTGACTGACCTTGTAACCACCACAAAGTAAATCAAAATAAATCTAAATTACCCATTTTTCTTTCTAGAAGATATACATTGATTTACAGGTTTTTATTTTCTACTGTTTTTCCATGTATAGTAAAAAAACACTTTTGGAGCTAGTTTCTTTGCCTTTCAGAAAATGTCCGGAAACATCAAGAAGAGATAACAGAAAAAGAACAAGAAATCAAAAGTCTTAGGAAACAAGTGAGAGCTCGGGATGACCAGATCAGACATATCCAGGATAGTGAAGCCCAGAGAGCCGCCATATTGCAATCAGCATTTAAAAGCTATTTTAGTGAACGATCAGATACATTAAATCCACACCACTGACCCAACAAGTGGTCATGATTCACTGTTATTGAGGATCTGTGTCACAATGATCAGTCAGTTGTTACAAGGTAGTATGATGGAAGTTAAGGTTTAAGCCAGATCCACTAATTAATTAGTAGTGAAAGGTCTGTTCATGTTAAGTCTGTGTGGTCCATCTTAGTAGGTATGAGTCGAAGAAGTTGAAAATGTTAAAATACAACGGGTAGTTGTAATGGTTTCAAAATTCAAATGAATGTCTACTTTAATTCTGCCATAATACTTGAATCTTGATATGCCAAGTTTGTTTCATTCGGTATACCATAAAAATGGTTTTGAACAGTTTTATTTACTGATGTTGGAGCAGTAGGGTCCCAAGTACATAGCTTGTTGTGCCTAACAGTCTGTAAAACTCTTGGAGAAAAAAAAGAGCAATAGAATACAGGTTAATACACATTTGTAGGAGTCAATTTGAATTAATACTTATAAATTTATATTTTATGTTTATATCCACCTTCGATTTATGATGATACATATAAAAAAGATTTAATTTAGTACTAATTTTTTGTTGTACAAAAAAATATTTTGGAATTTAAACAATCAACAAACAGTTTTCTAATATTTGAAAGAAAAATAATAAACTTGTTAATAAAGAAAAATATATTATTTTTCTAAACATGGATAATTTTCTTGTTCTTATGCTATTTAGCATCAACACGAGTTACTACTGCGTAGTAGTTTGGTAGCTTAAAACTTGCATTGCCAAACACTGTGTACATATTAATCAAGAATCAATTGATAGATTTTTTAAAACACTTCACACTGATACAGTGTTTACATGAATGAACATTTTATAGGAATTCACTCACTTCCCATTGAGAACACTTAAAAACCCTAATTCCTAAATAAGAGTTATTAATACCCATTTTTTATTATATTATCAACTATGAGATTTCAGGTAGAAATGTCAACCCTGAAGGTAGTCTATCAGATGTAAATCACTTCTTCAGTAGAGAAGATTATATGAGATTTAATGAATATCTTAGTACTATAAATGTACGGAAAAATGTTAATGCTGTGTCTTCCAATAAGTTATTGAGAATACAAATATGAAGTTCGAAGCAACATATCAAATATCATGAATTTCTTCAATACATGATCAAAAGGTGGTTTATACTACAAATGAAATGACTTCATCAGAATGCTATTTCTTTACATAGGAATGTTTTTGGGGATCTAATTGTAATAAACCTTATCAAGCTACTCCAGAATTAGGAGGTTTTTTAAAGCTTGTTTTCATTCATTGAAGTTGCCATAATATTCTCTTAAGAATATCGTATAAAAACAGCATTTGAACTCTTAACTTCAACCGCTCACCAGTGATCATTTGTTATAATAAACTGAATTGAAAAGTTTTAAAAAGAACCAATGAGTTGAGTGTCACCTTCAAAACATTTCGTACATCTGGGATATTTTCAGGTTAAATTGATTTTCTTTAAAGAGATAAAATAGGTATGCAGAATAAACAAAAGAGTTCACCTTGATATTTATCACTATGTCATTTGAATTCTCTGAGTTAATGAGTTCATGAAAAAGTAATAATTACACTAGACACAACTGTACAAAAATTCAATGAACAATCTTTTCATGACACAAACACAGTGTGTGTATTTATGTGACACTCGGGACAGTCTCCTTTTACTGGATAGCTCGATCCAAGTTTTTCCTCTCAAAACTTGTTCCACACTGACCAAACTTCATTTTACTTAGCTTACTTGGTAACTTCAGGCTTACCTAGAGCTACTGATGTGACTGGTGATTCCTATTTGAAAATGTGAGGTTTAAATGGAGGATATAACCTGAAGATATCACCTGACTCAAAAGGTGCTGGTTTACATCTATTTCCCCTACAGACAGCCCAGATGTTATCTCCAAGGGATGACACAGAACAATAGATAGCTAGAGGGAAGTAACTTAATGGCTTTTTTGATCACATATTATGTGAAAACTGCAAATAAACCTGAATACATGATAATTTTTGAAATTCAATATTAAAATAAGAAGATAGAAAATATCTACCTACCACTCATCCATGTGATATCAACTAAATATACCAGATATAAGCTTTTTTTATGATTTTGTGGAATGCTGAGAATTTCTTTTTGTATGGAATGATATTCTTAAGTACAGTAACCATTCTAACAACTCATCTTAAACACATGCAGTTTGCTTATAAATGTGTGTTATTTTGTTGGTGTTGTTCAGAGATTTTGTGTACTGTAAATAGGTTTAACATGGATCATAAATATTAACAAGGTAGGAATCATGTCTGGGAATCTCCATTCACATACACTGTATATATCCTTGTAACTAAAATGATTGACTTATATAAAGACTTTCAAACATTTTCAGAAACTAATCTTTGTAGATGAGCCATTCAGAACACAGTTTAAAACTGGGGTACATTTTGGTGACCAGTCAGCTTTTTCTATCAACAGACATGTTTTCGCTGATAGTTGCCAGAATACCAGGAGCATTTTCCATGTGATGGGTTTCCCAAAATGATGCCATTGTTGTTCTTCCAAACATGTAAGCCCAGCCCACTGGTGCCAAGTTTAACTGTTAAATACTTGAGTGCAAGTACTGAATGGCAATACTAATTTTAACAATGAGTCTAGTGCCAGTTGAGATTGTTAAGAGGAAAGATGCAAACACGGTGCAGGAAATAGATGCATCAGTGAAGAACAAATGAAATTGGGCCTGATTTGAGAAAAAAGTTGTTTTTTATATCAACAAACTATTGCCTAAATCATAATAAAAAAGGCAGTTCCATCAAGAGCCATCTGGGTGACTTCATTAGAAGGGTACGTACATCTATAAAATGAAAGTTTCCGTGTAGGCCCTAGATCTAGACATACTGCAGGAACCTAGGCACAGTACTGCTTAGCATATTACTAGTATTTGTGATGCAACATGCTTTAGGTTTACTGTAAATCTCTAGGCCTGTCAGATGTGCCTAATTTCTAAAGTTAGCCTTAATGTCAGTGACTTAGGACTAATTAGTCTAAGTATCTTCATATTGATCAAGATATTAATAATATTAATTTATGCTAGGAAGGCCTAAGCTAATAATGATTACCAATGGTGTCTGCTGTCAAAACAAAAAGAACAGACACTGTTACTTTACTTAATATAGTTCTTTCCAAATAGGTAAAAAAATTTACAAGAAATGTATGTAAATATTATTGGATGGGGACAGTTTTCCTTGTTATGGTACAGTTTTATGACACTATTCATTTAATGTGGTGAGCAACATGATGGAGAAAGTCATGATATATAGGGGGTAAAGGTGGAGAATATGGGGTGGACATGTGCAAGCAAGTCGAACCAAAACTACAACATCTATTGTGAGCAGTTGTTCAAAAAAATAAAATGGAAATTCATTCATAATAATTAATCAAAGCCATCTTTTATAATTGTTTTAAAGGATAAATTAAAGTAACACAAAAACAGCAACTGATGTCCATAAATACAACTGTAATTCACTCAAAACATGTTGAATATACATAAAAAAGATCAAATCATGTTCCTCATGAAATGCTTGGTTTGTGACTGATCAGGTCAGGTTTTTATTTGTTGCCTGGCCTAATGATCTCTAATTTCCATGGCAACCATCAAGCAGACTATATCAGTGCTTTGCTTGAATGTGTAGAGTGACTCATGTTTCATTCTCAACATTTGCTGGTAAAGTCAGTGATGGAGGAGAAGTTTTTTTTACTCTATGAAGGATACATTTAAACATACAGATGTCAACATTTGTATTTTAAATTAGGAAATACAGTATCATTATATTAATGGATTGAAAACCATTTTTAACCAACCAAGCAGTGCATGGTTTGCTTGGCCTGTAAGCACATCACTGGGGATAAAGCCTAAAGGAGTGCCATTCAAACTTCAAGTAGTGATCTTCATCTCTTTCATTATCTTGTATAGTTCATATGGTCTGTCTGACATCTACACATTGCCTGAATATAATCAGTTATATAAAGCTACACTCATTTCTGACACTATGTTATGCTATGTAGAAAAAAGAAACAATGCTATTTTGATTATAAGCATGGAGGCAAGTGACATTTTGTCTGTAGCACATTTTAACTGGTTTTATAACAACCAGCTTTGTCTCAGCATGTTGTGATGCACCATATACAAATTGCTTTGTCTGCATTCGTAAGGGATGAGGATGATAATCTGCTCTCACCATTTTCTCTGATGCACAATAAGTCATTTTTATTTTTCCAAAAATAGAAAGAACTCCTCTTCCCAAGAGTAAGAGAATTGGCAAACCTTGGCATTTCCCTATGCTTTGGCCTTTTTATTAGAACTCCCTGAAAATGAATCACTTAAACATCTTTTATTAATATAGGAGTTTTTAAAAAAATTTGTTTGGTCAGATTCAATGCAGTATTCACTTAAACATGGTTTTAAAAAAAACATTGAGTTGTTTTTGTTCTTGTTACCTTTGTTGGTCTCTAGCAGATATCTACTTAACCCATAGAGATATTTCTGCAACTTGCATGTTTTGCAGAATAGGTTAATGACAGCAATGTCCTTCGCTGAAAGAGTAGATATCTAGAGGTCACAGTCTTCACTATGTTGTGTGAAAATGACTAGCACATGTATAACACACATTTTTATTTTTCTGTTATCCACATCAATTCTACCATGTTTTATAAAATGAGATAGTTGACACGAAAACATTCCCAGTGACGAAAGCTATTGACTGACTTATTGATCCTATAGAAGGTGTTTGTCCAGCATCTAAACAAGTACACGAACTGTAGTTTTTTTAGTTTTACAATATAATGAAAATTGTGTTTTACATTACATCACATATCTATTCTGTTTATTTTCTTAGTCATTTGGTTCTTCTGACCACAATCAAGTCAAAATAATTGGCAGTGGTGTGAATACTGTGCAGTGTGTGCTGCAAAAATAAGATTTAGTTGCAACAGGATAAACTCCAACAGCGAATTGTTAGGTATCCTCTGCAGGGTCAATTTTTTGAGACAGAGATAGGTCATTAGATATACCTTGGCCAACTTTGTGAAATAGTTGATAATGGTTGATATATCAGCACAGTCCAAAAACTTTAGTCACAACCTAACAGAAATCAGGAAACTGGTTTCTACAACCAACTGTTCTGTAGATATGTTAGGTATGATGAAGATGTACACTTCACCTTATCACTCTTAGTCTGATGGTTTGGTATAACATGTAATATATACTATCGAGTGGATATTTGCAAAGTTTGTTACTTCCCACTGAAGTGACAGGAATAAACACTTGCTACATCAGATGATGTCATACAAAGCAACTGAGAAGAGGTCTACAGACCGTTTACAGAACATGTTTAGATGGGAAATGCTAATTACTATTGAGTGTGATATATGGTCATCTCCCACAAGAAAATGACCCACAATGCCCATGGGAATACATGGAGTGTTTTTAAATTTATAGTAA